CATACCTTGCTAATGTTGTCCTCCTTACTCAGCATCCCAATAGTGAGGTTAATATCACCAAACATCTCTAAAATACACAGACGAAAATTAAAATATGCATCAAACTGTGTTCCCCCCACCCCATTAGCAGCAGTCACAGAAATTCAATTCTTGTCTGCCTCTACTCTCCCCTTTAAAAAAATTTGTCTTTCTTTTCATGGCTAGCTCTTGGTAATAGGAATGTATTGCACTTATATTTCCTACCCCCAAGGGTCTTGACCCTAACAGATGCAAAGTGATCATTCTGAAACCAAAGTTCAGTGTGGAGGTGCAGATAGAACATGCTGGATTCCGATTTATAGCTCTGATCAAGTGTGTGCACCCTCACTGAGTCCTCTTGCAAGGTTTGACTCTCGGGTTCACTACGATAAATCCTTCACATCTGACTTTAGCAATGGAAGAAACAGTGGAAATCGTTTCTTCACTCTTCTCCCTTCCTCCCTTAATGAGCCCCTGAGTTTTCCTCCCACACTTTCTTCTTGTTTTTCTACCCTTTTGTGCTTTCAGACACTTTCTTCTGGCCCCATGTTCATGACACTTTTGCCTTTTCTCAATAAAGACTTCAGTACTGGATTTGTATTTTCCAGAAATATGTGTTTTTTTTGATAAAAGACTATAGAAAGTTATTAAATGCTGTCACCAACACCATGACCACCACTCCCACCACCCCTACCACCACCGCCACCATCAACAGCAGCAACACAAAGATGGAATCAAAAGACTGCAGCAATTTCAGGCTAATGGCAGGCTGGCAGGAGGAGGGGGTAAAGATTTCCCATGAGCCTCTGAGTCAAGCACATATCCTGTTAGTGTAGCACTTTAGGCAAAGCAAAAGATAGTGCTGTTAAAAATTGGAAGAAAATGTTGTTCAAAGATTTTTAAATATTCAAAATTAAATGAGAATCGATTTTCTGATATATATATATATTCATATATATTCACACATGTAGCTACACACATACACACACACACACACACACACACACACACACACACACACGGCCCTTCCCCCCAATCACTATTTTATCATTACTATTTTTTTAATAAAGAAGAAATAGAGGGAAATAATCTGACCTCAGCAAAAGCATTTCAGAAAACCTTTAAGGTGTATAATCATGCAGAAAAAACATGCATCAGCTAATATTAGACTTCTTACTCCTCAGGAGCCAGAGCTGCTTACCTGTGTATTCCTCCATGCTGGGAGTTGTCTTGGTTGTTGTAGGCTTTACAAGAGACAGCACCTAAGTATTGGAAGCAGTTCAGCTAAAAAGTCAGTGAAGCAAGTTGGCAAGTTTCTCACATAAGGTTCCCTAAGCGAAAATCCTTCCTCACTTGATTGGCAGGGTGATCTGGGAGCTCCTGGTGATCTGTTCGCTGTTGAGGTGGATGACACTCGATTCTACCACCCTCACATTGTTTTGCTTCTGATCTCCTGCTAACCAAGATTGCTGCATCTCACCAAATGTTGTCCCTTTGGAGGAGACCAGTGTATCTGAGGAGGGAGAAATTAGAAAGAAGGACTCAAACCATTGTTATAGATGAAAGGAGCCGCTTTCTCCATTTTTGGGTTCATTGATCACAAGTTTAAGAATGATTTGTTTTGGTGGCCACTTTACTGGCCGGATGTTGGTAAAGCTTTTAGGTGGTCCTGATAGTTCTATTTGGTGAAAATCAGTCACACAACTGGGCATGCTCAGTGGACCGGAATGCCTGTCAGGGGCAGTTGCAAGGAATGACCAACTGACACAGAGGCAAGACTAAGCCACTCTGCCCCTCCCCACCACTCCTCACTGACTTCTCAGAACCTTAGTCATCCCACAGGCGCAGGCTTTCCCTAGGCTCCTTTGTATCTACTTGGTTTCAAATGATTTCTTACATGGATTTCTTGGCCATGGTATTTTCATAAGGTGAACCTGAATCTTGTCTAAGTGCCCCTAAAGCCTAAAGCTGTGTGATTGCAGTCTCCAATGCAGGGAAGGTGATAGCTACTGTGAAGTAGTCTCAACAATCCATAGGGCTGGGTGTAAAGGAAAGATGCTCATAGCAATTTTGATGGCTGTTTTCTCAGGCTATTTTCATTAAGGAAGCTTATTGCAGATCCAAAGATGAAGAGCTTAAAACTAAGCCTTTGGCCTAATCATTCTTCAGTTGAGAATTTTTATTGGTATATTTTTTATAAATGGTGTTAGATTTCATAAAGACAATTTCAAGTATATACCATGTATTTTTTAATCCTCTTTTTTCTCCATCTTCCTTCATACTCCATCTATTTTCTTTCCTTCCCCCAGACCCCTTCTGCTCACGTCATGTCATATATATATATATATATATATATATATATATATATACATATATATTCCAGGGTCCAAAAATGAGAAGAAACAGATAACATCTGTCTTCTGAGCCAGGCTTATTTTGCTTAATACCACAAAGCCCAATGACGCCCATTTTCTAGCAAAAAAATAATTTGATTTTGATTTGTGGCTAAATAAAACTAGATTGCATACCTACGCAGCATGTTTCTTTCCCTCACTTGCCATCTAGGCTGGTACCAGGTCTCGGCTATTGTGAACAATGCAGCAGTGAACATGGATGGGTTAGTATCTCTGTGGTAGGGTCAGTGCATGGATACATACCAGGAGTGCCTCAGTTGGGTCGGATGGTAGTTCCAGCTTTGGCTTTGTGAGGAAGCACCACTCTCCCCACGATGAGTGGCGGCACTAATTACGCTTCTACCAGCTGTGTATGGGGATTTTTCCCCCCACATCCTTACCAACAGTTTTTT